CTCAAAGAACATAGATACGCCATAAGAAAAGCATCTAATTCAACGATATTGTCACAAATGGCGCAAGCGCAAGGCTCTGAGGTTAAATGGGATGAGGCAACAATCATCAAGCCTCTGTCTTCCCCAACTCTAGCAATGACGGCGGAGAAAATAGAAATATACAGAAGTAGGATAGGGGAAGGCTGTTTAAATGCGAGAGATGCGGAGAGCCTACCATCGGCATGGAAATATTTGGTTAAGAAATATACTAGAAACTTCGACCAGAATTAATCCATTGAAGATTTATGTTATTTTTGTTTTAATTAATTAATTTATTTATTTATTTATTCTTCCGTTATTTTTTCTCTTGTAAAATTTTTGATTTAAATAATTTTTATGTTCTATTTATGGAACATTTACGTTCCATTTTTTTGACCTGAAGATGGCCTATTAACTAGGCTGAAAACGTTTGTTTTTTCAAATTATATTTATTTCTCGGCAAAAAAGGTGTTTTGTTTCTTATTTGTTATTTTATTTTATCTGTATTTAAATTTTTGTTCTATTTTGTTTATATTCGTATATCTTAGCCTGATGATGGCCAACAGACTTTGCTGAAAATGTTTGCTTTTCATTAAATTTTTCTCAGCAAATTAAGGTGTTATGTTTTTGATTTACATACAAATGCTGAGTGAGTGTACATCAATTTAATTATAGCCTTTACATAGCCCAAGAATTTGGCATATCGTTTGGTGTGTTTATTATACAGTGGGTGATCGGTTAACGAACATAATCCGTTCCAAAACTTTGTTCGCTATCTGAATTGTTCGTTAACCGATTATCGATTTACCATAAGTTTTAATGGGAATTTAATTAATTCGTTCTGGAGACCCCCAAAAATAAAAAAAAATGTATACTTTCTTACTACGTTCATTTATATGCAATAATAAACATACATACATACACAGTCTTGCATTTTTATTAGTCATGTTTTTTCCGTTTGAAAGGGTTAAAAAATCTGTCTAATATCGATTGCTTTTCTCTCTTCTTCAGGATTTTTCGTAAGTAATTAATAGCATTGCAATTGTAGAAATCCCCAAGCCTCAACCTGGTTTGGATGCCATTCTAAGATCGTTGTTCTTACATCCTCCCACTTCTTCAAAGGATCTTTAATAACAGATATCGGCATTAATCCTCTTTATCAGAAGAAAACATATCTCACCGAGTTTCTTGGCGTTCTTCTGTCGTCAGATCTGTTTCAGGTTCCATTATGAACCCTTCGATGTTCTTTATTTCTCAGATGTGATTTTTGTTACTCTTTTAACTGCTTGAGTCTTCTTGATTATACAGTATTTTTCTTAAATAAGATTGAACTGCTGCCTACTGTAGACCTGTTCACGCCATACTGCCCAGCAACATTATGCATCTTCTGCCCACTCTCTACCTTTGCTATTATACTCTCCTTTCAAAAATAAAAATTGACACAAAACATAATGAGTGACCACCTAACAGTGTCTTGAATACTATAAAAAAAAATTGTTTCTGTCAGAAAAATAAAAGGCTGGAATTACAAGGGAGAGTTTCAAAGTTCGGAGGAATACTATCCGATTGGTATATACCGGCTTGAGCGTCGATGTCGACGTCTCCCACACTCCGAAAAGTTTCGAATTGTTGCCCGAAGACAAGGGAAGACCAATCAGTATTCATTATTTTACGTCGCTTCTTCTTGTGTTTGTTCTGTGCAGTGTTCATTATCCGATCATGTGTTCGTTGTCCGAACATAAAAATCTTTCACGAAAGTGTTTGTTATCCGATTTGTTCATTATCCAATCTGTTCGTTAACCGATCACCCACTGTATAACAAACAATGGTTGTTGATGTTTATACGTAATGTGTGTGAACACAAGTTTGGAAATTGTTTGATCACAAGTGACACTAAGATGCTAGCGGACCGAGTGCTAAATACAGACTGATGGAGCATGCACACAATCCAGGACTTCCCCTCTTCTCGTCACTCGTTATGTGAAAAACCGTTCGTTAAGAGAGTCAGTTTTTATAATTTTTGCTTTGCTCGTTATGTGAGATGCTCGTTAAGCGAGGGTCCACTGTCTCATGACAAGCATGAACAAATAATACTTACTTCTTTCTTTAACAGCTGAATGACTGAGAGCAGAATATGAACTCATAAGGTCTATTGAATCTGGATAAATGATAGCTGCATCATATCCAGCTTCGTATGCAATTTTGATCTATTTAAAAATAAAACTGAATAAGTAACACTTTTTAATTGCAAATTAATGATTTCTAGAATGATTTAATTCAATATTTTTGTCTTTTATTAAAATTAATTCACAAAATATGAAATTTAAGTTAATGTCATTAAATAAATAATACAATTCCAAATTCTTAAAATAAAAATTTTTGTTATAATCTTAATGGCATTAAACAAATTAATATCTAATGTATTCTATTATTCATTATATTTTATAATTATCAATAAATCATAATAAATTGTTTTTAAAATTATAATAAATAATGTTTAATTAAATTTATACAAAAAAGAAATTTTAACTTGATAATAGTTAATATCAGAGATGCAGATGCTTTTTTTATAGCATATAAATGGGTTATAAAGGCTAGAAAAATGTAACTAAGGTATACATAGAAAAAAGTTTGACAGTTCTTAAATTTTTTATATGAATGTCCTTTAAAAGAATTAATGGTTGTTTGTAATCAGTCAAAAAGGTGTATTGATTAGCAATCTTGACATTCATCTGCTCATAAATTCAGCAGAAACTTGGAATGTTATTAAATTTTAAGATTTTGAAGTTTCAAACTCTGGTTTTTATTTCATACAGTAGAATCTTGTTTTAACAGGTTGCTTAGGCAGCCAAAAACAATCCATTGTTCTGATAATCTATTATATTACAAACAATGAATTTCCCACACACCCAGGAAAGTATCTGTTATTCAAAAAATTTTCCATTTTTTAATTCCCCTACATATAAGAAATACCTGTACTTGAAATTATTAGTCTCTTGAGATCTCTCTCCTTTATTTCAGTGTTTCCCAACCTTTTTGGATTAGCAACACACTTTGAATTTAATATGATTCCTGTAACACAACATAATTTTTAAAATAAAAAGGTTTCAAGTAAACTAGATATTTCCTAGGAAAAGGAAACTCAGCTCTGCAATGTAATTTTTTCAGCTTGACATAAAAACTCAAATATGGCGAGATGTTTCCAACATTTTGTTTAATGTAGATTAAAACCTACAGATATGGGAAGGTGCACCTCCCTATGTCATAGCCAACAAAAACATAAATAAAATACCAATAAATGCAGCAAGTAGTCTAGCAACTCCCGCAACCATATGTGGCCAAAAGACACACATGTATGAATTTTGAAAAGTTAATTTTGTCATGACAGATAACATATTAAATGCCCATTGTAAATATCAAAATAAAAACTTGTCATAGAGATTAATGTAAATTAAGAGCAATTGTAAACTCAATTGTTTTGTAGTGTGCAATAAAGTTACAACCAGCAACCTGCCATGAGATGTTACTTAGAAAAAGAAATCTGATCTAAAATAGCTCAGCTCAGACAGAATTTCAAAATTCCGACTTCATCATGACATCGGCTTCACTGAATTGTACATATTTGCAAAATACCATTTTTAATGGTCATGTGATTGCTTTAAACTTTGATCACAGACAAAATACTTTCTGATTATAAAGAGCTCTGCACAATTATAACTGATTTTGAAAAAATTTGATAACAAGGAAGTTAAACTTAACAAGACAAAAACTGACAATTTTACAAATATACTATAAAAATAAAGAGACTATTTGAATCAATGCATAAAGAGTTAGGATTGATCTTTAAGCTGGTAAGCCACAATACTTATAGAAGATCCAAAGAGTTGGCATACGCATAGACACGCACAACTTTTATGAGTAGGTATGTCTGATGCTAAAAATTTTGCAACAATTAGCTTTTTGTAAATACCTTTTCTTCCCTTTGGTTGGGAGGTGGTAAAAAGAAGAAAGACAAATGAAATTTTAAAAAAAAAGCTCATTCAAAATTCTAAAAAATATTTAATATTTCCATGACACACCTGAGAGACTCTCACAACAAACAAGTGTGTCACTGCATACAGATTGGAAAACACTGTTTTATTCTATAAAAACACATATCTTACAAGATCTTACATTATGACATACATGTATGAGGGCTGTTTCTTTTTCATCCTCTGATTGTCCATAAAACAAAGACAAATGTAAATAACAAAATGAATTTATTACCAAAAGTTAGGTACAAACATGGTTACTTTTCAACATATGACAAATGCCTCAATCTTCACGTTGATATGTCAAAACGTAACCATGTTTGTACCTAACTTTTGGTAATAAATTCATTTTGTTATTTACATTTGTCTTTGTTTTATGGACCATTGGAGGTTAAAAAAGAAACAGCCTTCATATATGACAAAGCTGACGGAAAATGTATGAACTGTTGTCAATACAAAATGTTACTGTTAAGCGAGCACAAAGTGTGATTCCAAAGTGCAACAGCCCTGAGGTGCCATATGTCTTTGCTGCAGACAAGTGCATGTCTGGAAGCATCAAGCCAGAAGTATCTTCCCAATATCATAATTGTGTTACAGGAGAACACTGACATGCAGCTGTAACATTAGCAATGCAAACCATGATGATTATTCACATAGTTTGTTTTGTGTGCAATGTATTTTTTTAATTCAGTAGTCTAACCAGAAATACCCAAATATGAATTCAATGTTGAAAAAACTATGTTTACAGTCAATGGGGCTAGAAAAAATTTTAGTCATTCCATGTTACGGATATACTTAAAAAATGCAAAATTACAATAATTTGGCAAAACTTGGGGAAAAATCCATTATACTAAGAAATCTGTTGTTCTTTGATCTGTTAAAATGAGATTCTACTGTATTTAGTAAAGAGGGGGCACTGCTTGTTGTGAAGAGGGTTAATAATTTTTTCATAGAGCTTCTGCTATGCTTTTTTATTATGGAAAATATCAAGTTTTTGATAGTAATATTGATGATATTATTGATCATGAGTGGATTGGAAACAAATCCTGGTCCTAATGTGTATTAATCATACTCCGCTGAATCCAATAGTTCAACCTTCAACATCTACAGTGAAATGACATCACTCTCCAAGTGAACCTTCTTTGAAATCAGAAAAAATGAATGATTTTTTCTCTCCAATGTCAGAATCAGGTAAGTTTATACCTAAGGAAATTATGTCTTATCTGGATGAACAATTTGATAAAGTTCTTTCAATGTTAAATGAGGTTGTTACCAGAACTGACTGGCTGGTTAATTTACATAATGAATATGATGAACGACTAACTCATTTAGAGCTCAAGTTAGAAGACTTTTCTAAATTCAAAGATGATATTCAAAGTCAAAATAGTTTAGCTTTGCATTCTATTGATACAATGTCGAATGAGATAAAAAATAAAAATATTTTGATCAAGGGTTTGTCTGATGATGAAAACAATTTGAATGAGAAAGTGCAAACCTATTCTCTAAATTAACTGGTTCAAAAGCAATTCCAATGGCAAAGATTATAAAATTAAATAGATCAAATACTGTTCTGAGTGAATTATTGTTAATGGCAGATAGAAATTAATTTTTGGTAATACAGTAATACCTCGACTTACGCGAACCCGAAGTTACGCGATTTTCAAATCTTGTTGATTAGTCTTTTGTTTGAGCGCCACGCAACTCTTGATTACTCACCCCCCACACTATTGTTCAGCTTACATGTTCGGACATGTCACGTGGAATCGACACATAGCTACAATTTATTTTGTGTTATTTATTTCTGTGTTTGTTATATCTACAGAGACTCGAGAGACTCTACTATGTCATCCAAACAAAGTAGAACTAATTCTTCTGCATCAAACAAGAAAAGAAAAACTTTATCTTTGGAATGTAAAGTTAACATTGGGTATGTTCGTAAAGTCGAACGAGTTAAGCGAGAATGAAGTCATCGTTATTCCTATTTCGTTAGACTTTTCGAACAATTCGTTACTAACGCGTTTAACTAGTTTGACTTTACAAACGTACCCATTATTAAAGACTTCGATACAAAAATGAAAATTTGTGAATTGGACAAAGAAGTTTGATCTACCGGAATTGTCGGTCAGAACAATTATAAAAGGCAAAGAAAAAATTCTCGAAGCTGTGAAAAATGCTCAATCTTTAAATTCAAGCATCATTCGTAAACGTCACAGTATTATCGCTGAGATGGAAACAATGTTAAAATTATGGCGTAATAATCAAGTAAATGTGAAAAATTGTAAAATAATATAGGCCTAATTTGTTATACATATGTATTATCTAAGATTTTATTAAACATTTTTTTCTAAATTATTGTTTTCTTTAGTCTCCGGCCCCAATTAAAAATTATACCCCGACTTACGCGGTTACTGCTCGGTCCCACCTATTGCGTAAGTTCGGGGTATTACTGTATTAAAAAATAAATGATGATGAAGTGTTGAGAAATGTTCAAATTTTCGATGATTTATGTCGACGATCTAGTCTGAGACAGAAAAAGTTACAGTAGAGCATCGATTATCCGACCCCCGATTAACTGACCGTGTTCTAGTCGGCAAATTCAAATGTCCGCTAGTGATGTAGCGCTACAATATTTGGTTATGTCTTGGCTACTTTATTATTATTTTTACGTGTTTTAGCTGGCAACACTCATTCGACCATGAAAGGGAGCCAGTATTTAAATGAGGTTTAATTTTCTAATTTTTAACAATACAATAGCGATGATTATTATTTTTTAAAAAAATTTGATAGGCTTAACATGGAGGAAAATTCAATGCGAAGTAGGTTAATAGCAGAATACTAATATACTAATTACATGGGATATAATAATATACTACACTAATAATGGTTTTTTTCATACTTTTTGGTTATCCGACCTTTCAATTATCCGACCAACCCCAGTCCCCAATTGAGTTGGATAATCGATGCTCTACTGTATAGTTATGTACAATGTTTATTGTTAGGTTGTAGACTTGCCAACATTGTGGTAGTTCAAATTGGTAACCATTTCAGCACAAAAAAATGTCTAGTTCTATCTACTAATATAACTCAAAAGAACATGACAATAAATCTAATATTGTTTTGTAAAGACTAATGTATTTAACTCTAAAGTGTGATGTGTCAAAATGATATAATTTGCTGCATGTAAAAACACTAGACACTACATGCAAGAACTTAAATCCTGCTTAATGCATCTAAGTAGGCCTAAACTATAAATAAGTTGCAGAAAGAGTGTATCACAAAATATTATTGATTTTATCAAAGGAGCAACAAAGTGGCATCTACTCTATCCCAATCAAAACAGATGACAGAACAGTACTACATAGACAGCACTTATATTAACACTTAAGATTAGGATGTCTAAGCATAAAGACAATCTTAAACATGGAAAATTATCTACAGACCCTAGCAGAACAAATGTTGTTGATCTGAATGAAGATGGGAGTGAAAAATCTCAAAAAGCACTTAATCCAATAAATAACCTAACTCCTTTAGCCATTTAGACTTTATTTCTAATGTTTAACCTTCTTTATAATGCCTGACTGATATAAACTTCTGAAATATAGTTGATAATGCACAGAAACACATTTTTATCAACTTTTTCCCTTTAGTTTATCTTGTAGCACACTTAAAATGATTTATAGCATACTAGTTCAGACAGTATTCTAATTTAAAGCCAAACAATTGCCAAATTATTGGGCTATAATATGGCTATGTAATTAATTAATATGAAATCATTTGCCTAGAAGTAGGCAGTTGTTACCAACTCATACTAGATTTGTTATAATATATTAAATTTAATTTATTATAATTATTAAATCTAGTACTAGATGGCAATATAACTGTTCTAGACAAATTTTTTAGTACAGTGGGTGATCAGTTAACGAACAGATCAGATAACGAACACTTTCGCAAAAGATTTTTATGATTGGACAACGAACACACGATTGGATAACAAATACTTCACTGAACAAATATAAAAAGAAGCGACAGAAATAGCAAATACGGATTCATTTTCCTTTGTCTTCAGGTAACTTTTTGGAGTGCGGGAGATGTCAACAGTGATGCTCAACCCAATATATACTGATCAGATAATATTCCTCAAACTTAGAAATATTCCCTTGTGATTCCAGCCTTTCATTTTTCTAACAAACAATTCTTTTATAGTATTTGCGAGACTGTCGGGCGGGCACTCATTAAGTTTTGCATCAGTTTTTATTTTTGAAAGGTAAGAGTATAATATCAAATATGGGCAGAAGATGTCTGATGTTGCTGGGCAGTATGGCTTGAACAAATCTACAGTAGGGTGCAGTTCAATCTTATCTAAGAAAAATACAGTATAATTAAGAAAACTCAAGCAGCTAAAGAAGTAACAAATATCACATCTGAAAAATAAAGAACATTGAAGAGCTCATAATGGAACCTGAAACGTATCTGACGACAGAAGAACACCATGAACTCTTGAATGAAGAATATCAAGAAACTTGGAGAGATATGTTTTATTATGAAAAAGAGGATTAATGTCGATATCTGCTATTAATTAAAGATCTTTTGAAAAAGTGGGAGATGTCAGATCGACAGTCTTAGGATGGCATACAAACCAGGTTGAAGTTAATAGGCTTGGGTATCTCTACAATTGCAATGCTATTAATTCTGAAAATCCTGAAGAAGAGAGAAAAGCAATCGACATTAGACAGATTATTTAACCTCCACAAACAAAAAAACATGACTAATAAAAATGCAAGTCTGTGTATATATGTATTTTTATTATTATATATAAATAAATGTAGTAAGAAAGTATATATTATTTTATTTTTTGGGGTCTCCAGAACGAATTAATCAAATTCCCATACAAACCTATGGTAAATTGATAATCGTTAATGAACAATTCGGATAGCGAACAAAGTCTTGGAATGGATTATGTTCGTTAACCGATCACCCACTGTATTTAATTAATTACTTAGCCCAATAATTTGGTAGTCATTTGGCTTTAACTATAAATCAGGTTTGTGAGTTAATGCTCTTTTATTATTGTTGAGTTATTTTTCTTTTTTTTAAAATAACTCTATTTTCCAACTATAATACTATATTTTCATGTGTATAATCCACAGGCTATCTGTTTGAAAGACAGTTTAAATTCTGTATAAGGCAAGTCATATGCAATCATGAATTATACACATTAAAATATAGTAATCATGTTTTAACATTGAATTTGAAATGAATGGAAATATTATATCCTATATTGTTCTAGAAATTTTATTTATCCATTTCACAGAAAAAAACATACATACCTTTAGTTCTATTGAGCAATCATATCGACGAATCAGCACAAACCACTGCAAAGATGAATTGGAAGGATATGGTGGTTCAGGTATTGAAGAACAAGCATTCAAAGGATTAGCAACTTTTAAATATCCCTGAAAAAAAAATTATTACATAGTGAAATTTTTATTAAGTGACTAGTTCAGATTTCAGAAAATAACTCATTAAGAATTATATAACTGTTTTGCTGTGGTATGACATTTGAAAGATAAATAATATTGCCAATTCTTAAAAATAGTTTACTGCAATGCACACAAAAAAACAACTATAATTTCAATGATATTTTAGACTTAAATGCACAATAAACCTTTTTTTCCATGCAAGTAATTTCACATTCATCCATGTAATGGATTTTCAAGATACTTTTTAACCACTTTTATATATATTACCCTCCTGATCATGGAAGTCTAATATGTCTCCTTTATCACTGGTTAAAGCATTCCTTTCACATCTTCCTACCCTAAGATTTGCTGAAAGTTCCTGGTTAATAGCCACATTATGTGCAATTGTTACTCTGTAGTAATATATATATGTATATATTACACTTATTTAAGAAGTATTTTACATCCACCTATTATCCCACTTCTAATTGATAGTCTCCTGTTTATATTTCAAAATCCAAATTTAAACTTGGAATTCTATAATAGGATGTTCATCTTTAGGATACAGTCATAACAAATGTAACCTGAAAAAGGTTTATCAAATGAAGCTGAAAACATTTGAATTTATTAAAATATAGTTTATGATGGAATTTAAAAGTTGTGAATGAATTTATCCTACATTTCCAGTTTGTTTGATTTTATCACAAAAGAGGAATTGTAACAAATTAATTTTATTGGATTGGCTAGTCATTTAATAAAAATTTTACTATACAATAATTTTGAATTTATGAATTCACATCATCCATGAAAAAAAAAATTTTCCTAAAAACCACAGGTGATTCTAGTATCTCATACTACTGCAGAGTCACTGATTAAATTTTAAAAGCATATAGATTGATTTTTTTTAAATAGAAATACTTAAATACTTAGCAAGGATTTTTGTCCCTTATCACTACTTCAACTGCCGCGTAACATCAGGCAATAATTTGGCGATATTAGTGTGTTATTGCAATTTATCGAGTTTAGTAAGATGTTTATATTTCTCCCTTATCATCAGTAAATCATCACCTTGAAAATGGTTTCCTTTCTTTGAAAATTAGGAATATATCCTCTAAGAAAAAACAGTAGTCCTGGTTCTTTCTATATCAAAAATCACCTAAAGGACTAAATTCTGATTCATTAGAATGTGTTTTTATGAAAGAGGATACTAGTAGGATATACCACAGGTCATGATATATAATGACTTCTCTTAACCTATTGTAAGTTGAATATTTTCTCCATCGCGTGTTGCTCAACGTTGAAATTTTTAATGTTAAGCCTAACGTAGGCATGGCTAACATACAGCCCGCGGGCCGGATGTGGCCCGTGTAATGGATTTATGTGGCCTGCAATTAATCTTTCAATATTAACTACTCAAGTCAAAATAGATCGGTGAAAAATTCTAATGTCTAAAAAAAAAAAATCAACAACTCACTGTCTGATTAGTTGATCCTCCATTACAAATCTCTTAAGCACAGCATAGAACGTTGATAAAGCACGATAATGTGAAAAATGTATCTGTAATCTCTATGTACAATTTAATCTCTACGGGGTGGCACCACAATGAAATCTTGCACCACCTCAAAATCTTCCTAAGGCAGCCTCTGGTTTGGCCCATGGAAAAAGTTTTCTTTCCAATTCGGCTTCAGGGGCAAAAACTGTTGGCCACCCCTGGCCTAACACGATCACATGTCTTAGAAAAAAAATAATTGTGGCTATTGTATCGTTCCAAATTACTTAAATGTTTTGCACACACAAAATAGACATATTAATAAATGTAAAAACAAAATTTTATTTCAGAAGTTAATTCTTGTATGATAAATTTCAAAGCAAGGAACAACGCATAGTGGAACAGAACATCGTTCACACTGATAATGTGATTCTACTCACTTTTTGTTTGCTGAACAACATACTTAACTGGTTGGATATTTTTTTTTTTGTCTGTTGATGGTATGTGGCTAGGAAAATGCTGTTCGGATAAACACAATGGATTTTCATGTGATGGTCGACTGCGATGGGTTATATGTCTGCTTGTGTAAAACTTTTCCATAACTTCTCTGATAACAGCCATATGAATATCAAGAAATGACATCTGTTTTTCGTTAGTTGTCAATACAAAACACAAGCATTATACAGTGAATATCAACATAAGAAAAACACTTTTTTTTTATACCATTTCACAGTTTTTTTCATGCATGGATAATTGTGTATCACTCCATCACACAGATCAATTCCACACATATTACAATTATAGTCAATACAATTTGGCTTCATTATTATTTCTCTTGATCTATTATGTTTACCAGAATCTGAGAATTCATTATTAATCATTGTACTTAGCATCAACACATCCCTTTTATCTCTCCAACAAAATACAGACAAACCATCTTTCTGATATATCAAATTCACCTTCCTTCAATTTATGATCAGGAAAATTGCATTGCATTCCAATTCGATTTTTGTTCACAGTTCCGCATACATATGTTTATCAAGAAATGTTTTTGTTAATGTCAGTGAGGTGAAAAACCTGTCTAAAAAAATCTTGTAATTTTTATCTAGCAACAGTTCTAATAATGTAAGAACAACTTTATCACCGTGCCCACCTTCAAAATTGCCATATTCTGTTGTAGCTTCCATGTAAACTAAAAAATCCCAAACATATCCTGTTCGTGACTCACAAATTTTGTAGCTTTTTACACCAAAATGAACATGCTTGTTAGGTATATACTGCCTAAATCCCAGTCTACCTTTCCATAACATAAAACTTTCGTCTACATACACATATTTTCATCTGGGATGTAAGCATATCTGAATCTGTGGCAAAAATGATCAATAACAAATTTATGCAATTTATCATTACCACCTGACACTTGATCATTGTCTGTAAAATGACAATAAAAGCAGAAATCAGTCGCTTGATATCGCACTCAAAAATGGTGTAGAAAAAAACATCTTCAGTTGTAAAATACACACAGTCGACCCCCATAACACTGTTGATTTTTCCGTTTTATATGAATTCCATGTTGTACAAGTCACTTAGATTTTATAAATACGCGTGCCAGGCTATGAACGGCTCACGTATTTGTAAAGTGTACTTAAGCAAGGTTTTTAATAATACTTGTAATCATAATAATTCCTAAAAATTATCTAATTTCTGGATTTGTTGTAGGTTTCCAGTGTTTTATGCAACTGTTTTTACTTAATTCATCACAGTTCATCAAACAGGTAGTATCAGCATACATGTTTGTTTCTTCAACAATCTTGTCTACAAGTTCATCATCAGAAAATACATTGAAACAGTCAAATGGTGTAGCATCACTTTTTAACTTACATTGAATTCCTGCTTGTTCTGTGAAACTGTTCACTTGAGGGCTTGTAAAGTTTGTACGGATCCAACCATCATCATTACTAAAACATTTTGCATTACTATTTCCATGAGCATGACCACGTGGTTGACTTCTGTATCCACTTGTATTTGGTTTTTGATTATCATTATCACTACTATAGTAGTAGTGATAATGATCATACTACTACTACTATCACTACTACTACTATCACTACTACTACATCACTACTACTATCACTCAAATTCTCTTTGAACAAATTCATCATTACTGTCTGATAATTCAGACTCATTGGAACCTAAACTAAACAAATACTTGATCATTTCTGATTTTTTCAGAGTGCTATTTCTCCCAGTCATTGCCATATTGAAACAGAGTCTAACTAACAGTCTACTTTCCTTTGTTATTTCTTTTGAACATCTAATCCTATTATTGTAATATCCTGCTGTGCAAAAACAAGATAACATAACGATTCTGATACGAGTCACTAATTTCAGAATTCCATACAATTAGCAACATCTAACATTAAAAAACGTTCCTAAGCAGAAATGAGATATCTGGAGTCCACCAGTCAAGGTCATAAGGTTACGGTCCAAGATATTTCGGGAATAACATGAGACAGGTTAAAGTACTGAATCACGGTTGATTTTAAAACTGTATAGTCTATAGATATTAATTCCAGAGAAAATGATGTATTGCCATCTTCCTATGATGTGATAGAATTCAAACTAGAATAATTGTCAGATAATGCTGGAATCCTTAACTGACCTGTTTTTATAATTAAAAAATAATTAGTAGTAAGAAGAGAAGATATACACTTGTCAAAAGTGAAATCACAACACCACAAATAAATGTGCATAGCCACATGCAAGTTGCAGGACTAGTAGAAGTGACAGAGATATGCCAATGAGTAAGCTTGTGGACACATTTGGTCATGTGGTACCCAGTTTTGGACTATAAAGACCAACAGTCAGCTCAGGCTGTAAATGCTATTAGTGACAGTTCACAGCAGCTAAATTTTCAAAGCAGCATAGAAAATGCCTCAAGGACAAGAGTGAGTTGATGACCACCAGTTAATGGCTAGGGAATGAAACCATATTCTGAAGCTACGCAACCTCAGTTTGTCGATGCATGCAGTTGCCACACACAAATACCATCCAGCAATGTGTGACATGATGAACACAGGAACATCTGTAAACAAGCTAAAGAGGGAGTGGATTGCACCAGTGCAGGACAGAGAACACACACCAGCAGATTCACCAAATGGCCCATCAGAACCCATTTGCTACAGCATGTGTCTTCTGAAACTGCCTATTGCCATCAACAGATGCATGTGTCCATCCAAACCATTTGCAACAGGTTACATGAAGTTGGACTGCACGCATAGCAACCAATAACCAAGATGCCATTAACCACTCAACACAAGGCTGAATACCTGGTATTGTGTCATTGTCATTGCAACTGGACCACTGAATGGTATCAGGTATTGTTTACAAATAAAATTACACTTCTGTCTGTAAAGGAATGACAGCTATGGACAGGTGTAGCGGTATTCTGGGGAACGCTATGTGCTAGCCCTTTTTGCCAAGTATCACACTGCTCTACACTGGGCAAATGCAAAAGCAGACAGCCGTGGTGAAGATTTCCAGTACTCTGACAGCAGACTAGTATGTAACAAAAATTGTGGAGTTGTTGTGGTTCAGTCACTGGTCCATTACGGTGTTCCACCAAGACAGTGCCCAACCTCATGTCAAACTAAATTCTCACCAGCCTGAACGGAATTCACATCCTTCCTTGCCCAGCAGCCTTGTCTGATCTCTCTCCCATCAAACACCTGTGGGACCTCATCTGATGTGAGGTACACCAGAGACCACCACCACATACCATAAACAACATTTGCAGCACAGTGGATGATTTTCCTGTACTCAAACTGTCCCTATATAGTTCAAAATCAAACTCTTCTTCACTTTAGTATGTTGAAAATCTTCACAAGCTGTTCTTTTTCTCATTCTTTATAAATGGAAAAATTGTCTAACTACTTGCACTCATGATTTTATGCATAATATTGTCCTAGCAATAAATATGTAGTTGTGGTTTAGACAAAGTTGCTATAGTGGCACCAGTGTACTGTACATTTATAACTTACAATGTATCACAATAGCATCTGTGGAATTGTGATAAAAATTTTACATGTTATCATAGCAGGATCCAAGGGCAAAATGTTGAAATAATAATACTATTTAGGATATCTATGGAATATTTACATATGCAACATTTCTAGTGTAATTCTTGGATATATCTATATGGATTGTGAAGTATAAGTCATATCTAGCCATAACAAAAATTTTATTGCATTATACCAGTATTTCCTGCAAAAATTTAACATTTATAACCCTTCATGATATATAAATATACACATCAATTGAAACCCGATATTTTAAGCTAATACACCTACAACTGCCGTAAACGATTGGGCTAAATTTTGGATATATCATTATAGATTAGAAATGAATTTGGCACTAGAGTGAGGAGTTAGGCGCCATCTCTTATAAAAATTAATAATTATAATATTTAATTAATTAATTTAAATTAATCTGGAAGAAAAGAANAATTAATTAATTAAATATTGTAATTATTAATTTTTATAAGAGATGGCACCTAACGCCTCACTCTAGTGCCAAATTCATTTCTAATCTATAATCATATATCCAAAATTTAGCCCAATCATTTATGGCAATTGTAGGTGTATTAACCTTCATGATATAATAAATATCTTTGTATAACTTAAAATTTTATTCATTTATATACAGTATATTAATTTACTCACATATATTCCATTTGGAGGTAAATTTGGACTACTTGACCATTCCCAATCTAGAATTTCATCTACAGTTTGATTTTTTGACGAAATCTATGTAAAATAATAAACAACAAATATTTAAAATTTTATATACAAATAAATGTATCATATATTTAAAAATCAAATACATAAAGACACATTAAATTTTTAATAATTTAAAAAAGCAACTGGTCTTAAAGACCTTTCATTAACAAACATTTGCATCTAATTTTCAAACCTGAAAAAATCTTCACTAATTATTTCATGAAAAATTTCTTACAAACTCCTTTTGTATTTGTAATTAGAAATTTGCAGAGTTGAAGCCTTAAGGTTTTAGAAAATGTTGAATGCATACAGTACATAGAATAGATGTTAACAAGTTGTATCTTTTGAATGATGCATTGGAAACAGTTATGTACATACATGTTATTGACAAAGTACAAAATTCAGGCATTGTATAGAATGCCAGATGATCTGCTGACAGAATATAAAATGAAAGTATACACCTTCTCCATTGTAATCACTTTAAAGATTATAAAATTAGTATTCATAATCACTTATAAATACCATTTTTATAAATCTTCCTTAATTTTTTTATCTCTAACTGAAATGAATAACCTTAACTGAGCCTATCATTTAGGTATCAAAAAATCTTCATATGAGCTACTGTTCAGCTGCAAAATAAAGATTGATTTGAACATTTCATCCCCGCCACAAGAAGTGTCAAACATCACAAAAAAAGAAATTGGAAGACATTTTAGATTCTATTGATACTGAAAAGAGCAACATATATAAAGAGAAAGTTAATGATAAAACAGATGCAAATGAACAAACTCAGCAGTTCGAGAGACAATTCCTAAAGCTTCAATTTAACCTAGTAATCTGAAGATCACAGTTTCATTTGTTGTGTCTGTTTAAAATCATCTAGTGAGACTCATGCCATCTGTGAAAATTTGTCTAATGTGTGTAAGGAGGGATTTGGTGATCTCTTATTTGTCCTCTTTGTTTCAAAAATAAGAAAGCTCGTAGTTGCCAATGAGATTCTAAAATAAATCTGAAATTTCAGGCAAAGAAAATGAAAAATCTCTCTGAAAAGAAGTTCATGTTGCAGTCCCAGAAATAGATAAAGGTAGGGGGATGTTCATAACATTTTGGCTATGGTAAAAAATCTGACAAATGATGCATATTACCAACAAGGAATGAAACAAGGCATTCTAAAATAGTTATGCACAATATAACAATTTACAATGTGTAAAAAATCAATGCTAAATGATGTACCCAAGAATAAAGAAGTGTAATTTAAAATGTCATTACAGTACTGCATACTATAATAAGTAAACCAGACAGAATTCCCGATTTTAGGCCAGTCAAACTACAATGTTATTATTTTTATTGTACTCAGAAGAATGTTTTCTTTAACATTTAATTAACAACTAGTTTTGTTAGATCTGATTAATTTTATATTTTAGTTGCAGTTTAATCAGCATGCCTGTAACTCTGGGTTTCTAGCATGCTGGTTTCCTGTTTTTATGCTGGTCATTCTGCAAAAATACAGTACAAATTACACTGATTTAAGTTATAAAAAAGAAAAAACTTAAGCTTAGTGAGAATATGCTGTATAAAATTATGAATAAATTACTGTAGATTTTCTTGTTTCTAGTTTCTTGTAGATCATTTCTGGATAGAAATTCAGTAAAGCTGAGCATAATAAAAATTAGAATTTTTTACTAGTTTTGTAAAACTATAATATCATTAACTTTTAAGTTACATCTTAAAGTCTCACTAATTTAAGAGTTAGAAATCATAATCAAAGTAATAAACCACATCAAACCACCATCAAATTACTGCTATAAATAAAATAAATATGCTCCCTTACTTTACAAATTATATTAAAATTAGATAATTTGCTAAAATATGGTGGCATTTATTATTAAAAGCATTCATCATCTTTTTATTTATATTTAAAAATTGTTGTAAAAAATCAATCATAAAAATGTTTATAACAATTTATAACTAGTATCACTGAGAACAACAAAAGAGAAATTTCTAGTTATAAAAATTTCAATTAAAAAAATTTATAGAAGTTAATATATTTAAATAACAAAAAAAAAAATCCAGTAACAAATTGCTTAACTTTCCTGGTAACATTTGGTGGTGCCATTTGTTATGATATTTTGTTTAAACACTTTTTATATCTTTAACTGTTATAAAATGACAAAAACTTAATTTTGAGGATAGGGATGAGTTTTATAAAAAAAATTGTAAATACTAATAACAATTAAAGTTGTTATTAAGTCCTACCATAGTGGAGACACACAAAAACCCACATTATCTCCCACTCCCTCAACCTTTCACCACCAAAATTTAATAGCATCAATACCCCTAATAAGCAAACCTCCCTGCAAAGTTTTCTCATCTAAAACTCATCTAAAATGTGTGACGCAATCTGTCAAGTTTCCAAGCACAATTAGAGTGTGGGGTGTTTTGGATATTCTGATATTGGTGATTTGGTTCCCTTATGATGAGACTGTTAAAGCACAATGCTACCAGGCAATTTTGCAACAGCATTTTCTGCCTTCCATAGTACATCTTCAGCTACAGAAATGCAATCTTCCAGCAAGATTTCACCAAGCTGCATTCTGAGTGCTCCACTGGTGCTTGGCTTTTCCAAAATTGAGTCAAAGTCCTGGACTGGGTCCAAAATTCTCCTGATCTTAATTCAATCAACAACCTTTGGTGTGTCCTCAATAAAGAGGTGTGGAAATGCAAGTCCTGATAAAAGGTCAGCTGAAGACAATTTTTATAGAAGTGTAGACCAAAATTCTACAATATCTTTGCCAAGCTTATGTCACATTGATGCCTAGGCAAATTGCCAATGTGTACACTGCAAATGGAGGATCCATGAATTGGTAACTGTGTGTGTGCATAAATTTATTATCCTGATTGCTTAGAGAAGTAATGCCTTTAGGCATATACGGAGATGCCTGTTACAGTGATTGAGCCAATTTTTGTTTTTGTAAATTGTAGCTCAAGTAGCGTACTTTATTTATTAAACTAGTTTCAAATACAAATGAGCCCCGTTTTCTTATCGTTTATAACAACCACAAATGGTGTGCGTGTATATATATACAGTAGAGCGTCGTTTACCCGAATCAATTGGGGACTGGGGTTGTTCGGATAACCAATTATGTACGAAAAAATATATTAATTTATCCCGTGTTGAAATTTTTCTCTGTTGCGTGTCACTTTGCGTTAAATTTTCGTTGATGTTAAGCCTAATGAAAACTGTTGTATCGTTAAAAATTATTTTTTTATTTTGTACAAACAAAATAAATATATTGAAAAATATAAAAACAATAAAAAATTATACTTCAGAAGTTAATTTAGTATCAAAAACATAAAATATTTGAGTAGCCGAAGACATAGCCAAAGATTACAGCGCCACAGCACTGGCGAAAATTTAAATTTGTCGACCGAAATTCTTTCGGATAACCGACGCTCTACTGTATATATATTTTTTTAAACTCTTTTCGACCTGTGGGCACTAAGAGAACCTCTTTTTGCAAGCCCATTATGCATTCGGCCAGGCCCACAATGGGGATGCTGGGTGGTGAGGGACGGGGCCCAACATATTCGAACGGACCATCCCCCAAAAATTCCTGGGGATTTTCCAACCCATTTGGATTTGAACCTGGGTTCCCAGAGCAGTAGGCTGCCACCTTGACCACTCGGCCATCCAGCCGCTATGTGCATGTATATTTATTACCATGGAGAATTTATATATTTTGTTATACATCATAGGGAATCAACTAGTATCTAATGTATTTATTATATTCATTTTCCTTCAAGTTGGTTCATTTAGCAGACAATAATCCTTCTCCTGAGAAAGTTTATTATCAAGTTGTTCAGAAAGTAATTTTGTTTTTTGCCACCAGAGGGAGTAATTGTATTTTTACCTGCCAATTTCATTCTAAATCATATTGTCATATATTTTGACAGCTGACATTTCAAGGCTTATTTATAAAAAAATTTTGTTTGATTCTTTGCAATTGTTTTTTTTTATGTCCCATCAAATAAGGAAAATTGAAAGCAGAATTTTCAGCATATTTTGCTCTTTTATTACCGAAGAAATAAGAATGCTGTTCAAGCAAGAAAAAATTGTATGACATGTATGGAGAAGACGTGTTGACAGAACAATGCCAAAACTGGTTCACAAAATTTTGTTCCAGCAATTTTGATATTGAAGATGCATCACATTCTGGAAGGCTAGTTGAAGCTGATGAAGCCAAAATAAAGGTATTGATTGAAGCAAACAGCCAAATAATAACAAAAGAAATTGCTAAGAGATTAAATTTGTTGAATTCAACCATTTATGATCTCTTGAAACTACTTGGTTTTGTTTCAAAGCTCGATATATAATTCTACAGGTTCTTATAGAAAGATATTTGCTCTGTCACATTGACATCTGTGATTTGCTTCTCAAAATGTTACGAAAATAATTCATTTTTGAAGTGAATCATAACTGGCGATGAAAAATGAATTGTTTATGACAATGTCAAATGCAAGCTATCATTGAAGAGATGAGCTGGCTCAAAGCACTTTGAAAGCTGATAGTCATAAAAAAAAAGTGATGCTCTCAGTTTGGTAGTATTTTAAGGGAATTGTTTTTATTGAGCTTCTACAATTGATTTGGAAGTATACTGCCGTCAACTGGACAAATTGAGTGATACCATCAAACAGAAAAGGTGTAATGTTTTACCATGATAATGCCAAAACTCACAAATTTGGTAATCCGTCAAGAAACTGTTACAGCTTGGATGGGAGGTGCTACCACACCTACCATATTTGTCAGATTTGGCACCCTGGGATTATTACTTGTTCCGGTCTTTACAAAACTTTTTAAATGGTGAAACATTTACTTCAAATGAAGATGTCAAAAATCACTTGGGTCAGTTTTTTGTAAGCAAAGATCAGAACTTTTATGAGCGTGGAATAATGCTACCAGTGGCGTACCATAGTGGGGGCGGCCCGCCCCGGGCAATACTTTTTAGGGGGCATCAAAATTTCATAATAAATATTATCATCATCTTGTAAAAATTTGAAACATCCTAATCTATACTTTCATCGCACCTATGATAGTGCTATCGTCCGGACAGTTCGGGAATCGGCTTGCTGGGTTAAGTAGTAACTTTTGCATGCAAGTAATTCCTGCAAAACCTGTTGACCTTTTATTTATTTATTTTTTTTTTCTTGTACGATTCATTCACGTTCATATACACCACTAATATCCAATAGAACTATTTTAAACAGGTCGCTGCACTACTACCGAATTTTTCATTGCTTGTTCTGTGACAAAACTGAATTTTGGTCTTTTAAATTGAAATACCTAAATAAGAGGGGGCGAAATTTTCCTCTGCCCCGGGCAGCTGACACCCACAGTACGCCACTGAATGCTACTACCAGAAAGATGGCAAAAGGTATTGGACCAAAATGGTCAATATATAATTCAATAAAATATTTATGTATTATAAGGAAATTGGTTTTTTTTCATAAAAAATGAAATTACTTTCTGAACAACCCAATACTTAAATGTAAACATGTTGTTTGCATTTGATGTGTTAACTTTTATTTATATATTTTGTTATATATAATTAACAATAAGTACAGCGGGTGATTGGTTAATGAACAAATCGAATAATGAACACATTCAGAAAAGTTCTGTGACGTGTTTGGATAACAAACACCTCACAGAACAAACACAAGAAGTGACGTAAAATAACGAATACAAATTGGTCTTCCCTTGTCTTCAGGCAACAATTCGAAACTTTTCAGAGTGCGGGAAATGTTGATATTGACGTTCAACCTGATATATACTGATCTGATAGTATTCCTCCAAACTTTGAAACTTTCCCTTGTAATTCCAGCCTTTTATTTTTCTGATAAAACAATTCTTTTATAGTGTTTGTGAGACTGTCGAATGGGCACTCATTAAGTTTTGCATTGGTTTTTATTTTCAAAAGGTAAGAGTATTATAGCAAAGGTAGAGAGTGGACAGATGTCTGATATTGCTGGGCAGTATGGCTTGAACAGGTCTACAGTAGGCTGCAGTTCAATCTTATCTAAGAAAGATACTGTATAATCAAGAAGACTCAAGCAGCTAAAGGAGTAACAAAAATCACATCTGAGAAATAAAGAACATTGAAGAGCTCATAATGAAACCTGAAACTGATCTGACAACAGAAGAACACCAAGAAACTCAACAACATATGTTTTCTTTTGAAAAAGAGGATTAATGCCAATATCTGCTATTAAAGATCTTTTGAAAAAGTGGGATGATGTCAGAACGTCGTCTTAGAATGGCATCCAAACCAGGTTGATGTTAATAGGCTTGGGGATCTCTACAACAACAATGCTATTAATTACTTTTGAAAAATCCTGAAGAAGAGAGTAAAGCAGTCGACATTAGACAGATTCTTTAACCCCCACAAACGGAAAAAACATGACTAATAAAAAATGCAAGACTGTGTATATATGTATTTTTTATTATTATATAAAAATAAACAGTAAGAAAGTATATATTTTTTTATTTTTTTGGAGTCTCCAGAACGAATTAATCAAATTCCCATAAAAACCTATGGTAAATCGATAATCGGTTAATGAACAAAGTCGGATTATGTTCATTAACTGATCACCCACTGTATATTTTTTGCTATTTTATTGTTTACTTTATGCTTAAATTTTTATTTTGTATGTATTAGTTCAAACTAAAATTCTTTATTTTAATTTATAATCTGTATTAATTTATTGCATAGATACATTAAAATGACAATAAAATGTATTTTGTGTACTGGTACCAGTACACAATAAACAAATACAACACGGTTTCGACAACATCAAAAAATAAAATGTATATTAAAATATAATAAATATATGGACAGATCAGCTCTCAACCATGCGACAGGCGGCAATGGGAGAGCCTAGAAGTATAGGCTCTTCTGTTCTGTCTGTCGCACAGTTGAGAGCTGATCTGTCCTTCAAAATTCTTGTTCTCCGACTTCAGTCAGAAATGGGCTGGGTATATTCAGAGCTTTCTCCCTAAAATGGGGGAGTAGCTAGCATTGATAATAAATATAATTAAAAATTAATTCTTACAATTGCAATTGCACTGTCCCAAAAATTCCTGAAACTTGGAAACAAACATCTCAAGATCTAGAAACAGAAAAATAGCTGAGACTAAAAAACCTTAATCTAGTTTATACCAGGTTGTTCAATAAGTTTTGTCATTCGATAAGAAAAACACAATTTTATGGTTTGAAACACATTTTATTATTCAATATAATCTCCCTGAACTTCAATACACTTGTTCCAGTGATCTTCTAAATTTATGGATTCCACTCCTAAAGTGAGAATCTGGAAGACTGCCGAAATACACTTCCACGGCTTCTATTACCTCTTCGTTCGATGAAAATCGTTTCCCACGCATGAATTTTTTGAGATGTGAGAACAGCCAGAAGTCAAAGGGAGCTAAATCTGGCAAATAGGGTGAATTCACTGGCAAATAGGGATAATTCACTGATTTTCATGATGGTTTTTTGAGCTGTGTGAGAGGGTTCGTTGTCTTGATAAAAACTGATGTTT